GTGACCTCCTAATATCAAAAGTAAAATGGGTTACGTGTATATTTCCATCTTTTTAAACTTTACTTTCTTTGTTAAGATAGAGAAGATTTGGAAATCTAACAGACTCTTTCAGTCGAAAAGGGCAAATTCTTTAGACTTTAAATTGGATTAAGCGTTTGATATATTTAATTGGGCCTTCACTTATTTGCCAGGATTCGTTGATACTTGTTACATGGAACGACTCGGTTCTCTATGACTTGCTTAGTTCCAAGCTCAAAAAATAGGGATAATGTCTTTTTCCAAGTTATGATATAAAAATTATAAAGACAAAGCAAAGTGAAAGGCCCATAAAGTCTAGATGACATTTATTAATCTATGTCTTGTTTTCAACCTTGACATTTCTTAATCTAAATTAGTCATTGGTATAAAATTTAGAAAGATTTTGTGCACGGTTTGAACACTGTATTTACAAAAATTACAAATATTGTATGGGACAATGCAATTCTCAGTTGTCCCATACAATATTACTTCCTCTCTATCTATAGTGCGTCATAAAAAATGCTGTTTCTATAAGGCCAAGGCTTTATGTAATTAAAAATAAAATAAAGCCTCGTCTAATACAATGGAAATCTCCAAGATAGTTCTAAAATCAATTTCCAATACCGACAAAGAAATTTAAAACTAAAAATGATATAGATATTAAGAATCTATGAACAATTATTTTTAGGGCGAAATAGACGGTCTAGATAATTTGTTACGATATACACTATTTTTAGAGTGTGAAATCCTAATTTTTTTATACAACATGATAAATATAAATATTTTTCAATACTTGAATAGCAATTTTCGATGAGTTATAAGGTGAGGCTTTATTTATTTTTTTTTTAAAAAAAAAAAAATTGGTAAAAGAAAAAAGAGAGGGCACGCCCCAATTCCTTAAGCATAGAGTAAGCATGCCCGATATAGTTATTTTGAGGCCCCACATTGATCTTTGTGATTGAAGAGTGCATAGCCTTAAGGTTCCTATATTTATAAGATTTGAGATAAACCTTTTCAGATAGGAGTGTATCAAGTCCAATTGAGGTAATTTTCTGACGCGTTCATTTTTAACTACGACCAATCAGTTAACGGCCAACCGCTCGACCACTGAGCTACTCAGAAACAATAGGAGATTAGATCTCATAGAGTACGAAGGTAAAATTGTTTACTACAAATTGGACCAATTCATTTGAAAATATAACCACATTTCTAGACGTGGGAAACTACATTCACGGGTTTATTTGCACACACCGGAGTCACTTACTTTATAATTGCAATTAATTTCGCCAAACATCCCTAAGAATTAGAGATAGAAACTATCTCAAATTATAAAGTTTAGAGAGAGAAAATATCTTAAAATTTTAGAGCAAAGAACTATCTTAAATTTTTTAGAGAGTGACCCTATCTCAAAACTTTTAGAGGGAGTAACAATATCAAATTTTAAGTTTTAGAGGGAGTATCTTAAAATCTTGGGGATAGACACGATATCAAATTTTAGAGAGAGAAAGTACCTGAAAATTTTTAGACAAAGAAACTATCTCAAATTTTTTTTAAAGGGAAACTATTTCAAATTTTAAATTTTAATGAAAGAAAATATATTAAAATTTTAGAGAGATAAATTATATCAAATTTTAGAGAGAAAAACTACTTAAAGATCTTTAAAGAGTGAAAATATCTCAAAAGTTTTAGAGAAAGAAACTATCTCAAATTTTAAGTCTTAGAGAGAGAGAAGTATCTTAACATTATAGATAATAAACCCCGTCAAATTTTAGAGAAAACATACCCAAACATTTTTAGAGAGATAAAATATCACAAATTTTAGGTTTTATAGAGATAAGATATTTTAAAATTTTAGATAAAAAAATATCAAATTTTAGAGAGAGAAAATACCTATGAATTTTTAGAGGGAGAAACTATCTCAAATTTTTTAGAGAGAAAAACTATCTAAAAATTTTTAGAGAGAAAAGCCATCTTAAATTTCAAAGTTTTAGTGAGAAAAACTATATCACATAATAAATTTTAGAGAAATTATTTCAAAAAATTTAGAGAGTGAAACTATCCTAAAATTTCAAATTTATTGTGACCTCTCCTTCTTTCCAACTTTTTCTAAAATTTCAAGTTTTTAGAAAGACCATGCTTGAGTAATTTTTTCGTGTAAATTGTTTGCATATGTAAATATATCCTGATTAGTTTTTAGAAAGAGCATGCTTGAAAGAGCATTCAAAGTGGTTGCCACTGATCCTAATTCAGTTATAAATTCCCTCATTCATGAAGTCTAGAGAAATTGGACCTTATAGACAGGAGGTAAAGTTTAACTGGGCCATTTTTCATTTCCCCAATCGGTTAAAATTTTCCAAAAGCATTACTCACTTTTAAATTCTACTTCTTGTAGGTCACAAAGGTGGTTCCAGCAATGTCAGAAAGGTTAAATATGCTCTGATAAAAATTGTTTAGACTTTCTGAAGCGTATGACCCCACAACCACTTAACATATGGGCAGATGTTGAAATGAAATGTTTCCAATATGATGTGGTCATGGTCCTCCATATTAAGGTCCATGAGTGTGCCAAGTTTGATTATGGAACTTCAACTTATGGGGTCTGCATTTCTGTTAATTAATTTTGTTATGTGTGATTCGTGGATTCGTAGAAGTGCTTTATTTTCATCAACTTCATAGACTTTTGTTGCTTCACTGAAACCCATGAGTAAAGCTGAAGCCGCAGGCAATAATGATCGCCTAGTGAAAATTAAACTGGTTGTATTGACCTTGATTGTGATATATTGGATTAAAAATGATGACTATCACTTGTATTTTCCATTTACCATGTTATACGGTCAGAGTTTATGAGCATGCGGAAATCCGTCGTGTATGAACGGTTTTTTATATTCCTAGTTCAGTTGGAATTTGTAAGAAAATGTTTCTGGAGGATTCATCATCCAGATGACTGATAAGTATTTGCTGGGATTTGTTATCTTTTTAACTGTCGGTTATTTATTGCTCCCACCATAGAATCACTACTGTGTACGTTGCTTATTTACTATGTTTTTCAGTCGCTTTCCATTTTCTTTTTCTTTTTTTTACTTATGAATAACTTTGTATTGCTAAAGTTTACTTATGAATAGCTTTTTATTGCTAAAATCAGAAATGACATAATGCTAGACATTCTTCCTTGTTTTTGAGCACAACTACTCTGCTCAAGTTCATGTAGTTTACTATTTTTTAATTCTCTTAGTGCAAAACTTTGCCTTTCTCTTTCCAGACATGGTTGGTTGAAGGTAATTTGTGATTGGTGTTTTACTCAGACTGCTTTTAGTCCAGGATAATTTCAAGTGTTCACATCTATCCTGTAAAATATTCCCTTATGATTGGTTTTGTAGTTCCATTTTTTGGATCACCTATGTAATAACTGTTGGCAAAAGGTGATTTATTTATTCATGATCCTCAAAAGTTATCAATCAAGAAATCTCAGAAGCTGATGAATATTCCAAAACATTATTGTTTCATGTAGTTCTGACTCTGGATTTTTTTGGTGCATGTTATGCTTGAAGTTTTTGACCTCCATCAAACATGATTTCGGGAAAATTTTAACAAGTATGTGGAACTTTAGTCTAGTTTATAGAATAATACTTCCAACCCTTTCAGTGTATTCTCTTAAGCAGAAAATGCATATTCTCTAAAACAGATATGACAGAAAAATTTACTGATGTATTTAGATAAATTTCCAATGGCTTCTGCGCTGTCATTGCTAAGGTTAGTCACTGATAATTTTACCAAAAACTTGTAGGGTCCTTGATTCCCCACTGCTTTCGTATTGTATTCATAATCTATTCTTTGTAAGATATAGCATGACACTAACTTGCTATATGTCATTATTCCATTAACATGTGAGTTAGATTTCGATATCATGAATGTCTCTGTTTCTTCGAATGATTGTTTCCATGTACTGTATTTCTACAAACCTGTAGTTTATCTTTGAATTGAAGTGAGTCTTTGTTTTTATGGTTGGCATGCACAACATGCTTAATTTGTTGAATTCTTAAACCTCCGATGGTGCATGCTCTTGTTATCAAAATATGACCTGGTTCAAAATCTTGCTCAAGTTATGTTCCTGTTGGGTCTGGGATGATGGGCATTTGGGCCGTCCAATAACTAATGTGATATTATGAGGTGAGTTTCTCTTCTTTTGGGTTGTAGCTTGATACTGTGTTAAGATTGATTAGAAAGGCCTTTGAGGCCTACATACCAATATAGGGAGAAAAAATGACTCCAATGTCTCTGTGGCTTATTAGTCTTGCCCAGTGTTGAAAAGATGAAATTCAGTGGCCGACAGTCATCATCAGAAACCAAGTTGACAAATCTTCACAAGTTTGTCAAACTTTTTGTGTGAAAAAATTGATAAGAATTTAAAAGTATTTTAATGGGATTTGAGACCACCTAGTTATTATGTTGTGCTTAAAGTATTTGTAATGGGATTTGAAAACATCTAGTTATTAGGTCATACAACAATTTGCAACAAAAGGAAACACCTTTTCTATATTAAGAAAAAGAAGAAAATTATGTATAAACAAAGAACTCAGATTCATTCCGAGTTTCTCACTTGTAATCTCGCCTGCTAAACGTCTCAAGTTGATTCGGGCAATTTTTCCTGACATAGAATGAGTTTCCCTTGTTCTATCAATATACAAAGTATCAAAGGGTTCCCCAATGAGTTCATAATGTATATATAAGTAATTGTGTTGTTAACTCCAACATTTAGAACATAGAGAAATTCGAGAAGGTAAAATTCACCAAAACTCTTGACAAATTGATATTGTAACCATAAATGTCTCTGTTGGTTGTTGACCTTGTTAGATAGAGAGAAAAAATAAGTAATTATGAATTTATAACAATAAATATCTCTGTTGTGGATCTATCCGTTGGTTGCTGATATTCTGAGATTGAATAGTTGTCATGAGATTCTCTTATTGATAATGAGATATTACATCCTATACACACAAGTACATTTGTACAATTGATAACGGTACTACTTGTGAGAAATACAATGATAAAGCTTGAAATTGTTTCAAATATATTGCCCCTCTTTAAGTGACATCTTTGTGGTAAATTACTGATTGAATCAGCTGATGTGTGTCTCACCAATTGCTTAAATTAGGGCAACCCTGTGTTGACATTTGTATCTCCAATGGATGAATGACAAGAGCATTTAAATTAAGGGAAATATGCAATGAGACCATTTACCTTTGATACAAAAATGTCAAAAGCAATAGAGGTCAAATGTAAAATAAAAAAGCCAGGGTCTATCATTGACCATGCTTGAAGACGAAGAGCATATAACATAGGGGCATTATTCAATGAGACTACTTACATTACTAGAACAAGGTTAAAAATACCCATGTCAGATGTGGAGTTCTCACTCCAAGCAATCCAATGTGAAATCGGACAACCAAAATCTATCGACTGCTCAAAAGTTTGAGAAAGATTTTCTTGAATTTGTGCAGAAGGAATAATTCACTTCACATCCAACTAGGTAGTATGTTCTTAACAGTTTCGTACTCTGGGAGAAATTGTAGAAATTGTATAGGGTCCCTAAATTATCATGCAACTGTCATAATAGAACTTGCGAAATAAACAAATGAATCAGGCTCATTTTAGGACTTGATCAGCTTTCCTCATCTTGGGCGATTGATTTGTTAGGGAATTTAGTCATGGGTGTAACATTAAATAATCAAAGGAAGATGCACGTCCGAACTTTGCTGGAAGCTGTAGTTCCAATGCCCAAAAGCCCTACAATAAATCTATTGTCAATCGTAATTGTAAAATTGAAAGCTCTAAAAATAGTGTAAATTGAGTAGACGATCGAAAATATTTTACAATGTAATACAAAATGCACTATTTTTAGGACTGAAAATATTTTTTCTTTGATTTCTTTATGTCTGGAGGTCAAGATAATCAATTGTAGGTTTTTTGGCTGCAGAACAACATTTTTCCAGTAGTTTTTTTATGTGTCATACTTTTTTGTTCGAAATTGGCACCTTATATAAACATTTTCCTTTTAACTGTGCCTATCATTTCCTTCACAGGTGACAAGCGATGAAGGCATTAAAAGGGTAAGTAGACAAGCAACATGTCTCAAGAAAGAATCAGGTAATGCAAGAGGTAGGAGATCAGTAACTCGACAAGCAACATGGCACAACAAAGAATCAGGTAATGGAGGAGGCAGGAGATTAACACCAAACCATGTAGGATAGTTGACACTTGGAAAGGTGAATTTACAAAGCAGGTGCCAAGGGAGTGTTTTGAGATAGGATAAGATACAGATTCTTTTTTTTTTCTTTCTAGCCAATAACTCTAATGGTATGCTGAAGATGAAGTTCTTGTTCCTTAGAACCATGCATTAAAACCAAAATGAATGTTTAGAGCCCAAACTTCCAATAATCAGCAGAACAGTCCATTGAGATAACACTGGGAAGTGTTTATGCTATTTTAGCATTTTTGACAATTCTCATGAGTGTTGATCAGTATTCAGTAATAGCAATCTCCAGGAAGAAAAAATTATCTGAAGTGTGTTACATCTCATGAATGGAGAAACAACAAAGAAGGGAAGGGAAACATACTTGGATCGGTCCTCAAAGGGGTGATGAAGAGCCAATGGTTGAACCATCAAAGCCGATCGCATGCTTTGACATCATCAAAAGATCAACATTGCATGGAAGCTATGGAAAAAATTTAGACAAGAGAAATTATTATGTTAATTAAAAAATTATATAGGTAATGGCAACCCATCCGATGCAGAACAGCTACATAGAAAAACAAAGGATAAGATTAAATAAGATTGATTAATTAACTCTCTCACTCGACATAATTCAACTAGCACCAATAACTTGCCTAGTAAATGGTACTTATGTAGTGTGCACTGCAATTTCCATAGTAAATATAATTAGTTGCAGCAGATTTCAGAAAGAAGAGAAGTAATCAAGTCTCAGTTGGATTGCGCAATATGAGAAACAGCCTTGGTTATTGCATGAAAAGTTTTACGCATTATGGTAGAATATGAAAAATGAGAAATTTATCAATCATATAAATCCATAACAATGCATAGTATAGACAAGCCTACGCCCAAATCAAATATCATGTATATAAATTATGCAGAGATAACTAAAAGCATACAGGTGGGAGATTTGGCTTGACTATTAGTATGGGTGTCAAACAAAATCGATGAGGACGGGGGCACAGATTTTGGTTTGGATCAATCTTTGATGCTCCAGCGCCTGGGGCTCCGAGAACAGGAAAACCTGGCCTTTCCATATCCAAAACTCCAGCACCAGGAAAAAAACCCATCCCAGCTTTCATTTCAGGGAGAGTTTCATTGGCTAAAGAAGGCGGCATTCCACACACTTGGTGGCTGCATAGGACCAGATAAATGTGGTGAATCTCACTATAAAAGGTCAATAATCCTATGTTTGGTATTATTATTTTGCTCAAATTGCATGTATTTTCTATGAAAAGACAATACCTTAAGTTGCACAACATGCAGTCAAACAATGTTCTAGAGCAAGCTTTGCTTAGAAGAAACCCATTTTAGTTATATGAGAGAGTTTTAAATAAAAGTCAAACATATCCGGGCTCAATTAGAAGTTTTATGTTGTTGCAACCATGAGATATATATGTAATAGTAATACTAAAAATGACTTCTCATGTGATGTTAAAGCCCATGTCATAGCAATGTGAATTATACAATATAGTTTATGAATTCCCCAAAGATCCTAATGTGATATTCAAGCCCATGTCACAAGTCCATAACATTGTAAATTATATGAGATGGTTTAAGAATATCCTAAAGATCATCGGTTATTATCAATGTTAAAAAACGTGGCTCGGGCCCAAGATTTGCCCCTGCTTGAGCCCAATAACTCTAACGAGTTCAAGTGCACTCATTGGAATCATGCACGAGCCCAGAAACAGCTTAGATTACCCAAAAAAATGCACAAAAAAGTTTAAAATAAGTGAAAACAAGTAAAACGTAAAAGTTATAAACATCATTAAAAGTCTCTAAAAGATAGAAACAAATTATATAGAAAAATGGATTATAAAAAGAGTAATGACACTATGAGACCCTCTCACACCCATGTGAGTAGGACCCCAAGGGATCACTATTAAATTTTGACACAGATCTCTAAAACAGTTATCACATAGGTGTAGGACTTGGGTGAATGGGTTTATTGATAACTTTTCTAGATATCTGTGTCAAAATTTAATGGTGATCCTTTAGGGTCTTACTCATATGGGTGTGGGAGGATCTCATAGTATCGTTACTCTTATAAAAAAATAGATTAACAGCAAGAAACAATTCAGAAGTATTCAAAAAATGGGAAAATAGAAAATCACGGCATATAAATATAAGATCCAATGTCTTGCCTGTACTTTGTTGGTTTTCAAGACCAAGAATAAGATTAATGAGCTTATAGACCAAAACTAAATTATTATAGTTCCTATGTCTTTGGCTGCAAAAACTCAAAGAAATCTACGATGACTTCTTACTCTAGAAAAGTATAAGCCCGTAACTGAATAACTACCACAAAATTACGAATGGGTAACAATATTTGATAGCATCAACCAGACATTGTTCGAAACTGCAACTCGGGCACGGTACATGGCCAATGCTCGAACCGACTACTTGGCCTGAGTTGGGTCGAGTACTGTAGCAGCCAAAAAATATAGGGAATATTTTTTCGAAGTAAAATTAAGCAAAACACAACAAAATGAGTTTTAAAAAACTAGTGAAAAATAGATTTTCAAAAAATCAATTTGTCACTGACAGCATTTTAGAAATAATCTTAAAAAAAAGAAAATATCAAATTAAGTATTGGTGGCCAAAACACTTTCCAATCTTTGCCAAAATATTGAAACACATGAAAACACATGTTATAAAGACATTCCCTGGTATTTTTTAGGATTTTTTGAATTTATTTTGAGATCCCCAAGTTAGAATCCCCAACTCGAGGTTACTCGGACTCGCCAGGGGGAAGAACCCGAGTACTCAGTACTCGGATGAGTTTTCAAACACTTCAACCAGCTACTGTTCTCTTCCATCACAAAGAGTGTAATCTCTGAGTTATTATGCTCAAACAACACGTCAAAGTAAACATACAAAAACCATGCAAAAATACTAGTTTTGAGAATGATTGTTTATAAGTCAATAAAAAGAAAAAGTTAGAACCATGGGCTAATAGTGCAGAGATAATACCATTGAGTTTAAGAGAATTTTTCTGATTCATCATAAAGATTGCTCTTTTCTTTATCTTTTCATCACAGTTACGTATTAAACAACATGCTAAGTACAAGCAAAAATGGCAAAGTATGCCTTGAAAATAAAAATGCAAAGTATGCCCTGAAAATTAGATAATGTTCTAGACGTGAGAGTCTCAGGTTTCTCTGAAGAGACTCAGTGTCCATTAAATTTATGAATGTATGTACATGTCTTTTATAGACAAATTAAAGATGATAATAATAAAAATAAATCCTACTATACCCAAACTTACCATAAATACGAGATATTGATCTACCCTTCCCAAATATATAGATTACAACACACACCTTCCATATTAATATGATAATACTTTTTTTTCACACTCCCCTTCAAACTCTCAAGATGTTGTGAGAGATAGTGGGGGAGGTCGAACACTAATTGTGGAAACGAACAGTTGAATCTTTGGGTGCATAGCATGACCATTACAAACAATAGTTGTTATGCTCAAATTGCTTGATCAACAAAAGAATCAGCAGATCAACAAGCCTCAAAAACAAAAGGTTCAAATAGAGCAGATACGACTAGCAACATATTATCAAGCATCAGAAACAAATGACTATATCAGAGTAGGCTTACAGTAGACTTCCTCAATCAGACAAAATTCCATAATTCCAAACCTTCACCAGAGACAGAAAAACTGTCGAGACAACTGAAAAAACAGAATGACACATGGAATAGCCAACAGAACTTGAGATAGATTCGATAGAACAATAGAATGGATTATAAAAATAAACAACACGAAGATGAACTTATTAAACCTACTCTTTTTTTAGACCAAATTTCATATATATATATATATATATATATATATATATATACTATATATATATATATATATAGTATAGTAGTAGTAGTAAGTAAGTACGTACGTACGTAGTACGTAGTACGT